GTGGTTTTTTGTTTGGTTTTTTTTTTTTGCTGGGACCTCATTGGTCCCGCATCCTACAGTGCATGTAATTTGAGGAGTGAAAGGGAGAGTGGGAGAGGCCGTTTTTCTTTTGTTTGTTTTGTTTTGGGGCAATTCCACTCCGTCATGTGCGGAAGGTCGTGGACACATGTGACGCGTGTGTGTCCACCACAAGACCGATCCCCCAGATTTGGGGAGAAACAGCGTTTGTTTGTTTTGCATTGTTTTATGTTTAAAAAAAAAAAAAAAAAAAAGTAGATTCAATGGCCCACACACTCGGTAGAGTAACACGTGCCCTTTTAGGCCTCGTGGGGTTCCAACCGTGCCCTGGCAATACGCCGCTGGTCGATCCCCTTAGCCTTGTGCCAACAACAACAAGAATCCCGTGAGGGAAAACATTGCTGGCTATTGGCTTCCCCCCAGCAATACCGGGACAATTGACCCTGGCACCACAAACTGGGGCGACCCACCGCATTACCGGGAAGATTGAGAGGCGACGGTGCGCTGCAAGCATCCATGACGGTGTGTGAGGTCAATGCGTCGGTGGCGGGTGCCGCGCGTTTCTCTTCTTCCAGAGGACTTGTTTCCCCCCCCCTCTTTACTGTTTGTTCTACTTATGTTGCCGTCGCCCTTATATGGCCTCACCACACCTTCTTTTGTATCCCCGCCGGAAATGCACTCACATTCGCGCGTACCGGGAATTCACAGTAATGTGGCCACAGCACCTGTTGCTCCCATACATTTTTTTATACATCTGTGAAATTTCACGCACGTTAATGTCCGAATCGGGTTTTGCGCTCAGAGAACCCTTGCAATGATCTTTCGTTTTTTTGTTGTTGTTCTTGTTTTGTTTTGTTTTCTTCTATAGCTGTTTTTCTGTTTTTGTCTGTCCCTCTTTTTTTCTTTTGTGCATCGCTTTTGTCGCGTGTTGCCTAGTGTCAGAAAAACAACACGGGATGGGTTTTTGGGTCTTTGACCGGGTGGCTGACGGCTTCCTCTTTCGCGGACGACGACAGCTCTCAAGACTCCACCAACGGAATGCGATGTTGGATGCCAATGGGATGCCTCTTACAGGCGATCTTGCGGCAGAGGCCACTACATGGCGTTCACAACACGCGTTCAGTGGTCGATGCGGTCTTAGTGTGAAAAGGTCACCAGAGCCACATGACAACAGAGATGAGGCGCGCCGTAATGGGGGTGGCGATGTGCCGCACCCCGAGAAAATGTTACCATCTTATGAGTGCATAATTTCCCGGTCCCCAAATGATTACCGTGCGTGGGCAGTTGACTTTCACCTGCAGTCCACCAGTGAGGATCCTCATGTGCTTCTCTCCGTTGCGCCTTATTATGCCCCTTTGCAAAGCAACTTTGTAGAGGGCGGTAGATCGTGGCACCCACCAACGACAGAGGAACAAGAAATGTACGATAAACGTATGCTTGAAACTCCACTTATTTGGGAAGAGCCCATGACGCTTTCACTGGACTGCACAAATAGCGGTATGTTCCTCTGGAGTGAAGAGTGGAAAATATTCGGGGAAAAAATAGCTGACAACTGTTTCTCGCGTAGAAGTCAAAGTCGTGGTGGGGATGACAGTGTGGACCAAATGGGTGGTGTGTCGGGAGTTAGGGAAGGACCTTACGAGGCCTTTGTGCGACTCAGTTGGCGTATGATGTCAGCAGGCGAAAATGACATGTATGGTGGAGAAAAACGATCATTGAGCGATGCGTCTGTACGCAATATTATTGTTGGTCCGTGTCAAGGGGAAATGACTGTTTTTCTCCGCACGAGCAGCTCGGATCAAGAGGAGGGGGATGTGTCAGTGCCGCGGCAAATCAATGGGACTGGGAATGTGGGGGCGCATGGCGGTGAGAGTGTGAGCAGTGGGGTGCAAGTGTGGAAACGGGCTGGTGGACGTGCCGTGTTGGGAGATGATATTCCAAATGAAATATATTTTACTCCGTATGTGACACTTATGGATGCTGGTGACGAAGCAATTCTCCTGTGAAACCGCGCAGCACAAAACTTGGAGACCGTTGCGTGTATATATATATATATGTATATATGTATATATACATAACTGTGTGATGTGAATTAATTTGTTTTGTTTTTGTTTTATTTATTATTGTTATTTATATATAGATGAAAAGCAATTGTGATGGGTGATTGGGAGGGCAGGGGGTGGTCGTTTTGCTCCATGTCTCTTTTGATTGTCCTATGATCATGAGCACCTTATAAAGGAAACCGGCTCATTTGGAACAGAAGGGTCAACACATTTTCCTTTGGGTTGCACTTGTGCCTTTTCACCTGCGTCATTAGATGTGTAATTTTTGTGGGTACAGTGATTTTCTTTTTATTTATTTATTTATTTATTTATTTATTTATTTATAAATGCTCTTATTTTCTCGTTGACGTCTTCTTTTTCTTTTTATTTTTTTTTTTTTTTAAGAGACTAAAGAAGAAGAAGGAGAAAGAGAGAGGTCGAATTGGATTAAGAAGGGAAAGGTCTAAGCAACAGAAATACAATTAGAAACATCTGTCTACCCACACACACATATATATACATATATACATATATACATAAGGGGTACACACGCATGCCGTGGAGTCATGGGGTGTCACGGCCATGCACGCCGCACCTTCAGTGTGTTATTCTCTCTATCGTTTATTTACACTCTCTTTTTATACCAGCGCTCTTGGGCCAAAGCATCATTGCGACTCTTCTTCTCGTTTTGAATCTTGTTTGTGCCGTGCGGTACGAGAACCATCGGTGGCGGCATCTCACATTACACAGCAGTGACAATTGGAATGACGCCATTTCGGCACGACTTATACCAGTAAGAAAAGTGTCACTGCTTTCATTTCTTCTTCCTTCTCAACTGCTGTTGTACGTGAGTCTGGTTTTCTCCTGTCTACAGTTGTTTCTTGCCGCCACCCTTGGTTGGTTGCTTGGTCTATCATTCATGCAGCAGGGGTGGCCAAAGGCAGTGCTGAATAGCCTTGGAGTGTGGGGAAGAAAGGACGTCCTTCCCCTCGTGGTCAATGTCGTGTCATCGACGCTTTTAGCAGCCACAAGTGCAGCGCTTTGTTTTCTACTCCGCAAGCATCAATTTCAACCTTCAACGGAGCCAAACCGTTTGTTTCATCGTAGTTCTCTGTTGTGCCTTGCCTTGCTCGCACCAGTGACCGCCTCTTTATATCCCACTTACGACTGCACGCCTCTGTTCGTTGTTCATTTCTTGTGTATGATGTCTTTTTCGATCTCTTCATTCCCAGTTCTACGGGTTCGATTATTGGAGGTGGCCACGAAAGGATGTACGGTGGTGAGTCTTCTACTGCTCGCGGGGGGACTGTTGGCGCAGTCACCAGTTGTGCAGAAAATTGTTCTTGAGCACGGGGAGCCTATTTATGTCTGGAGTATCATGCGGTATGAATGTGATTGGGCCAAGATATTTAAAAGTGCTGCGGTCTTTCGAAGGGGCGCACAATTTTTGCTCCTGGCGTACACCATTGTGGCCTCACGTTATGTGCATGGTAGTTGGCGCTGCATATCAAGACGTGAGTTGGAGGAGCACAGGGAATATTTTTATGAGCCTCCATTTTTACTGTGGCAACTCTTCTCTGTGCGATACCCAGCAAGGTTGAGGAAAATACAGCAGTTTATGGGATATTACTTACCGCTAGCCGTTTTTCCCCTGATGATCATTATGAGTTTTATGGTCATGGATCTTGTGTCTATTCTGATGGTTATTACAACCCTCTTTGGGTTTTTGTTGCCGTCTGACACGTATGTGGCGCTGCTTCCATTCTGTTACGGAGCAATTGCATTGGGGATCGTCTTGGAGTTTGTGGCCACTGTAGACAGCCGGTTGCAACAGCCGTTCTTTATGGTTTACGCAGCAACTGGTGTGACCGCCTTTATGATACGCCTCGCTCAGTGCTTTATAAACTCTTTGCTCATCCTGGCTGTCTGCATGTTTCGTGTGAACCCCATTCAGGGACAATATAGATCGCTCGCAGAGAAAAAGGCACAAATTCGAATGGCATTTAATCGCCTCCAGAATCGCATTGATGAAATACAATGTATTTTTAAACGGGTATGCAATAGCACCACAGGCACTGTGAACCGTGAAGGATTTCCTGAGCTTTTAAAGCTGGTGGTACCGACATCCCGCATTAGGGAGAAGGAAATAGACTCACTTTGGCGTTTTTTGACGGAAGGGGAGCCGGTTCTTCTGCAAACAACCCCACAAGTAACCCCAAGAATAAATAAGGCCACCCTGGAATTTGCAGGGCATGCCGATGCGGTAAGAAATCCTTTGAGCCATTTGTCCAGTGCTCTTCATGGCGGCCGAAGAGCGTCCACATCGCGCGAGGAGTCAAACGGCAACCGCGATGACAATGATGAAAAAGGAGAAGATATGGATTTAGAGGCATGGGAGGAAATTAAAAACGGCCTTGATTCCACTTCCTGCATGGGCGCTTTGGAGACAAAGAGCCCTTCCAGGGAAGGGGAAAAGTCGCTAGAGGCTGCGTTCACAACGATCTCTTTCCAGGACGTTTCGTCGGGAGAAGACCAATTTCGCCGTGGTGAGCATAAAAATGGTCTGGAAGAAAAAGTGCAACATCAACAGTGTTCGGGGCGGAACTCAGATGCGCTTTCGCGTACCATTTCTGCCGTTGGGTCGCCTGGTGGTACCGTCGCCTACCTTGACTTTCTTGTGCTAGTGAGTAAGATTGAGTCGTATCGTATGCAACATAGAAACGGGGTGTATGTAGCGGCGTCAATGCTAAAACAAATCATTTGCCTTAATGCCTCTACTCTTTCTCTTATTGCGATGTTTGCCATTTCCATGGCAGTAAAAAGGTTGGATATTCTTAATGGTGTGTACCTTTTGTTTTTTATTGGCCTGGCATGCGTCCCATGGTATATGTTGTACTGTTGGTTTATCATAGTTGCGTATACAGCGTTGCATGTCGCAGTTCGATTTACTGTCATGGTCTACAATGCCAGCTATCACCCAAATGATACACCTTCGTACTGGATGGAGATTATTGGCATTGATATTGGCAAGGATCCTTTTGCCCTTTTGGTTTACTTTCTTTTACTTATCTTGGCGGTGTTTCAACTTCGGATTTCAAGGCATGAGGCGAGCGGGAAGATTACCATCCAAGAAATTCTTCAACGGATGGAATGGCGTCGTTTTACGTCGTGTGATTTTTTTCCACAGTTTTACCGACATTTCTTGGAATTGTCGACGTCGCTGGTGTTAGTGATGATGGCGCTTTTTATTCCTCACAACGTTTTTATCGCCGGCTTTGCGCTCCTGTTTCTTCTCTATTTCTCCTTGGGAGCGTATTCCAAGCTTGCCGAGAGCGTGACGCTGATCGCTTTAGGTGCCTATAACGTGGCGGTGTTGCTTATCAGTGCACTTTACCATGTACCAGCCATTTCAAATTCTTTTGCTGAACGATTGTCTAACGTTACCGTGTGCCAGAAAATCACGGTACAGAGGTGTGCGTTGGATGTTGGTGTCTCTCAGAATAATCAGTTTGGTTCCATGTCGTTGAACCTTCTTCCATGGTACTTGGCAGCAGCACTCTCTGTTGCCCTTTGCAGGCATTATTTTGGGGTGCTTGGGCGTGGGATAAATAGGCGTGAGGAGGGAAATGACGACGAAGGAGCCTCAGTAAGAATGGAAGAGATGCAAAACATGCCTGATCCTTCGATTTCAAACCGTCGCGGAGCACGTGAGGAAGAAGAAGAAGAAGAAGAGGTGGCGATGGTGGTGGAAGTGGCGAGGGAAGGAAATCATGCGATGCGTGAGGAAAGAGATTTTCTTGAAAACGACGGGAGGCAACGGATGGGGTTGTTCTTTTGCTCTTACACAGCAACACGCGGTACCTTTATCGGACGCTGTGTACCAATGGCGTTTGCGATATCACGGTATCTTTACCTTGTCGTCACCTTCATTCGAGAAGCTGGGACAGCACAGGGCAAGCTGATGGTGTGGGTATCTCTCGCGTATGCAAGTTTATCCAACTTCTCCCTCTTGGGGGCGGCCTTCATGGCACTTTTTCTTCTCGACTCTCGCGGCATGCCGGTGGTGGCTGTTGCTGTTGCGCAAATGGCGTTGAACTATGTGTACCCGTTTTTCTTCATCCCGGAGGCTCCGCTTTCAGTCAGCAGTAAACGTTTTTTCGGCCTGCAGAAAACGCAAAACGGGGAGAGGCCGAGTATCCTGCCGCCAATTCTGGCATGCGCCATGGCAGTATTTTACATGCACACGGAGAAGGACCGGGCCGCACGGCATCAAGAAGATGCACTGCGTCAAGCACATAGGCTTAAGAATCCACCTTATCATACTCCTTCGACACGCGATGGAATGCGGGCATTTTTCAGAAGCGAGGAGATTCAAACGCCATATGTACCGTTTGTGGCATCGCGGGAAAATCGAGAGAGGACGCGTGAAGTGTATGAGCCTCCGGCTAGGCTTATTACTCTCAAACAGCAGCTCATTTTCATGTGGAACTACTTCCGAACCCGTTTTTTTCTGGATCTCAACTTTGAACTCACAGTGCTTGTTGCGAGTCTCGGTCTTGCCCTTACGCCGGATCGTGTTACGGGGCTTGTCTTTTTTGTTGAGTTTATTCTCATGTGGTTGATTGGACGTGTGCGAAGTACAACAGAGATACGCTACGCCGTGCTCCAAGAGTCCCTCATTGTGATTGCTCTCGGCGGACTATACTTTATTCGTCTAGGGCTGCCGAAGGGGCTGGTGGGCGTCTCCATCCTACACCCAGAGGAGTGCAATGCATGGGACCATTATTGTGGCTGCGGCCTTCCGCTGCATCACTTTGTCCTCATGTTTGCACTTTTGGTGTTGCGGCGCTGCATGCGGCAAAATGTGGCTGAGGTACGCGCAACGACTTTGTGTGTGGAGGGTGCTTTTGAGCTCGGTGAGCTTCTCCGCAGGAAGGAAAAAGAAGTGGAGGATTGTCGAAGGCTCCTCCGCTCAGATATTGAAAGCGTTCTACCTGCTCCATCGCGCGATATTATACGGAACCCAAGGACGCTGTTTGATCTCCTTATCGCCGTGTCGTGTGCATGTTTACCAGCTGCAGTATTTGCCTTTGTGCAGGGCGTCTTGATGGCGTCACTGCTGGGGGTCGTAGAAATTGCGGCATCCCTCTGGATCCTGGCATTCAAGCGTTATCTCGCGTGGCGTTGGCATAAAGTTTGGCCGTTTTTCATATTGTTTCTTTTTTTGACTTTTCTCCCTCAGTTGTTGGCTCGTCTTCCGCTGACACCTCCGCTAATGACCCACGCGGAGAATGTGATGCTTGCGCTCGGCTTTAGTCCCTGGTCACGTGGGACCACGGTGGGACAGGCGATGGTGCTCTTTTCGGCTGTGTTGCAGCAACGCATCTTTAGTGAGTTTTTCTTTGCGGCATATCTTATTGGGCTATGCAGGGGCTCACTGGCCGCTGTGGAGCGGAATAGGGAGATGCTGGAATATTTCCGTAGGAAAGACGAGGAGCTGCAGTGTCAAGTAGTCAAGGAGGAGGAGGCATTGAAAAGAAGGCTCGAACAGCTTTTCTCCGAGCGGAACATGTGTGCGTGCCAAGATGAAATCAAAATTGGGGGTTTGATGCCAACACAGAGAGTGAACGAGAAGGAAACGAGGGAGGAGAGGGAATTCTCAAGTGGAGTGGCGCCGCTTTCTCCTATGATGGGTTCGGTTTTGAAGGTTCCGTTGAGTGTTTCTGCGCAGTCGGACACTTATTTCAGTGTCTTGGATTCCCCAAAGCAACTGACGAAAGCAGGGGCGGCCGTTGACTGCCCTGCCACAACGTTTGACGGGAGGTTGAGTGGCGTTTGCTCAGAAGAACATGTCCCCCCTGCACGGGAAGACGACAGGAAAGGAGGGATATGCAGTAAAATATCGAATGCGATTGAATGTTGGTCGGAGCAACTTGTGCAATATTTTTCCTTCCGCACTTATCGTGGAAAGGCACCTCCACGGACGTATTCTCAGGGGTACCGTGTACTCTTTGCATTTACTCAATTTCTTTTGCGGAAATATGCCTATGTGTGCTATTTCCTGTTTATGCTTAACTATGCGCTCAGCGGAACTATAGTGGATATGGTTCTCTCCCTCTCCGCCGCACTCTATGGGATGCTTATTTTACCATGGTCAGGGAGAATTTACTGGAGAAACGCTCTTATTTACAATGTTTTCTCCATTCTTGTGAAGTGTGTCATACAACTTATCGTTAAATGGTTTGCCATGAATCACATGGCATTGAAAATTGTTTCCGCGTGTGTGCTGGACATTGGCCTGGACCGGACCGAACCGTCCTTTTCTGCCATGAATTTGGACATTATTATGGACTTTGTTCTCTTTGTCAGCATCATCATACATCGTCAGTTTTGTTTTGATTACGGCGTTTTTGCTAATGAGCACGAGGAGCCATTCAGACCGCATCGGATGGAAACGGAAAAGGGGGAAGTCCACAGAAAAAAAAAACATCACCGCAACGAGGAGAGCACGGCGGGCCGACGTGAATTGCCCGAGGAGGATATGGATAGAATTGATGTTCAGTGTGTTGTGGTTGTTGCAAATGAAGGAAGACCGTCACGGCAGGCACCATTGTCATCATCATCATCATCATCCACTCTGGAGTTGCTGGCGAATAAGCATGACGATAATAATGTCTATAATAGTAACCATGATGGAATTGGTGAGTACAACAACTCAATGCGTCAAAAATGGCAAAAGAGAGTCTTCAAAAAAGGTGGAGTGTTGCACAAATACTGGAACAACATATGTGAACGCTATGGTACTGGATCAGACTACTACACCCTTCAGTTCTGGGCGGACGGTCTTTCTCTTATCGTCTTTACCGTGGTTTACTTTCTTTTGGCGGGTGATTTCCGCGGTAGTATTCTTTACAGCGTACAGCAAGATCTTCTTCCCTGGCAATTGGTACTCATTCTCTTTGCAGGGGTCATGTTAATGGCGGCTGAGCGTATCGTATATGTGTTACATTCCGTCCAGCTCAAGTTTGTCCTTCATGTAGTTACGATATTGGCGTACCATGCTATCTTCATGCTGTGGCGCCTCACACTCGCCCATCGGTCGACCACGGCTGCTGTCATTATTCTTTTGATGAGGTTTTTTTCTGGGAGTGTGAGTGCATTACAATTGCAGAAGGGGTATCCTTTTCACCGAAAGCATGATCCTTTTACGACACACACGGACATTTTTCATTGGCTAGGACATGTTGTGTATCGCGCCATACCATTTCTTTTTGAGCTGCGGCTTTTACTTGACTGGTCGGTCTCTTGCACGGCGCTAAAGTTGCAGCATTGGATGCTTCTTGAAGATGTGCATCACACCGTGTACATGCGCTACGTGGATATCAATGACTTGGCGTGGACAAGCCCAAGGAAGGGACGGCAATTTCCCTTCTTTGTGAGAATGTACCAAGGCATTGTCGGTTTTGCCGCGTGCCTTCTCGTCCTGTTTTTTCCTCTCATGTTATACTCCACCTTTAACCCAAACGTCGGTGTAAATCTTGTGACGTCATGGCAGACAAAAATTGCCTTTGGCACTACATCAAACTTTTACACAGCCACAGCCACCGAGGCTCCCGTCTCACAAAATTTGGTTTCCATTCTCTGGGAGCTGTTGCCATCCCTGCAGCACGATGAATTTGGCTCTCAGGGCCTACTGCAGCTGCTAATGTTTCCAAGGTGCAGTGCGGAGGTGTGGAGCGCCACGCCAGAAACACGGCTGTTGCTGTTAGGTCAACTTAACGCGGCCGTGAATAATGAAACAACTTTTTTTATACATAAAGAGGATCATGTCGTGCGCATGGAAGTGTCAGCACCAGAGACACGAAGGGTTCGTAGCTATCAGCGATACATGGTTCCTTGGAGTACCGTGGTGAAGCTACGGGATGCTCTGGAGGGAGCGCATCTTTGGTATACATCTCGGCATTTGGAAAAACATCAGGGAGGAGTTCACTCTGCTTCCACGCTGGTGTACGAAAGTGGCGATTGGATTCCGCTACCACAGTTTTATAGTCCTTTTTTGAACAACATACAAAACGATTTGGTAATGAAAAAACACGTGCGGGCAGATTGTGCGGTTCAGCTGAATGGCGTTGGAAACAGTGATGGCAAGACTCCCCCGGTATTGTATTGGTGTGTTCGTTGTAACTCCTTTGCTAATCTGACCGACGGCTCAACCACCAGGACATGGAGTATGAATGGCGCGAATGAACCTCTGGACATGGCCGATAATGATAATGATAATGGGGAAGCAATGCAAAGTAAGGAGACGCTGGTGTCGGACACCAATGCGGGCAATATTACCGGTATTTTTGAGATTGTGGCCTCATCATATGTTGCACTCAATCTCTCCCTTGTTTTTTTGCCGAACATGGGAATCATTGCACTTTACACAACGTTCATTTTGGCGATTGGGACCTTTTTACGTAACACCGTCATGGACCGCGCACATCGTGTGGTGTTGATGCAAGTGGCAAACCCGGACCCCATTGCCGAGTTGCTTCGGTATATTTACATGGCACGTTCCTCAGCAATTAATGGGTACGTGGACGGTCTTTTGCTGGAGCAGCAACTTTTTTTTGAACTTGTAGATATGCTTCGCTCACCCGAGCGTGTCTTGGCTCTCAGTGGCCGCCGCGTGGATGACTACGACGGCTGCGGCAGGTTTTGTAAGTACCTGAAGAAGTCGAGTTACCACCCGTTTTGAGGGAGAAAAAAAAAAAAGGGGGTAGAAATTATGCTTTTATGGCGCCGTATATATATATATTATTCTGTTTGTGGACCGTCCTCTCTTTACTTTTTCTCTTCTCAATTATTCACATTAACGTTTTCCATTCTTGATCGTTTTTTGTTGTTAAGCCCAAACGAGTGTTATTATTCCTTTTTACATTGGCTGTGAGAGGGTGTCGGTCCTCCCCTTCTGGCGAGGACCATTCTCGCGTGAACCGTCTGTCGGGTCTCATGTGCTTTGTTTACTTTCGTCTTTTTTTGTTCTTCTATTTTCGGTGCATGTTTTCTCCGGCCCGCGTGTTCGTTCGAGGCGCACGCACACACACAGAGAGAGAGAGAGGTAGAGAAAAAAAGAAAGAAAGGGAGAAGGTACTCGCTAGTGCCAACATGTCATCCCGAGGGCAGCCACGGTACCGCTACGTACCGGTGGAACTCACGCACATTGAACATGCAGGCGACAACAGTGGAGCGAGCCTCAGCTTTTCCGATAATCTACAGAGGTGGCAGGCATTTGGCCTCAATACGAGTGCCATTTGTGGGTCCTCATCAGCCGCTCAGCCTCCTCAGAGCGCCGCACGATGTGTGCATCACCACCTGGTGGAGGACGCTGAGGGGGAAGAGAATGAGGGAAGTGTTGGGGCTGCCGTGGAAAAGGATGGTGGGACGCAAAAGGAACAGAAAAATATGGATGGAGGTTCTGTATCCGCCATCCATAGGCAGCTGCTGGAGTTGTCGTCACGTGTTGGGCAGGTGGCGACGGAATCCAAATGTTTGCCCCCCGCACAAAGAGAAAAGCGTGGCAAAAGTAGCAACGGCAGCAATAAAAAAAATTCTGCAAGTGGGAGTGGTGGTGCGGCTTCCGCTTCCGAAGGAAAACATTCCAGAGAATATGGAGATGAGTTGGAAGAAAAACGTGCACTTAAGCGGACTGCCGCGTCCGGTCACAACGGCGCCTCCACCGAAGTGGAAATTAGTGGCGTGCACCTGCGCGAAGAGAAGGGAGGGGAGAAGAAGAAGAAGAAGCCAAACGCCCGAAGATCTCGTGCCTCAGATGTTCAAAAAAATGCGTCTAAATTGCCACAGCGACAAGCATTGTTTACGATGCCTCCTGCTCCGGAGCCAAATTCAAGGCCGGCCGAGTTAGTGGCTTTCAAGGAGGTAGACGATAGCACGTCACTTTTTGAGGATTTGCAGAAGACACTGGGGGATCCGGATCTCATTCAAGCCCCGACACTTTTTGTGGCCTTTATCGTACATGAAGGAGAGACAAACTTCTCCATTTCCGCAAAGACACATGGGAAAGTTCACTTTGTGCGGAAGACCAACCCGGAGATGAGTCATCTATCAGTACAATTCTTTGTCCTTCGCTGGAAAGATGATGTGTTCGTTCTGCATGCTTCCACTGCTCTTTCTTTTCTGGTGCGTGTCCTGGAAGAACTTTCTGGTGTTGAAATAGTGACGTTTAATGCCCCGTCACTGCTACTCCTACTTCTCTCCTACAAGCAGGGGAATCTTTTTACCTTGTGCGTCTCAGACATTCGTCTCATGTCGTGGATGCTGCAGCCCTCGGCGGGCGCGGATGCATTCACCGACTATGACGTTTTGCTTCAGTCTTGTCAGCAGCAAATTGGTCTTGCCGCGGGATTCAGAAACATGGAGAATTGCACTGTGAAGGAAATCGTTTGCCACCGGGTGTATTACATGGCACCTCTGTACCGTTTACTTTACGGTCAACTTGGCACACAGGGCCTTCTGCCGGCATTCCTTAAGCAAGAAAAGCGCATCTCACTTCTCTGCGCCGCAATGAAACTGAATGGCTTTCCTGTCAACTTGTCGGAGGTGGAAGGATTCAAGACGCGTTGCATCGCCAGGATGGAAGAGCTCCGCATTGCCGCCCAGAAGCTGGTTCCATCAATGCCAGAGTTTAATATGCAGAACCTGGACGAGTGCAGGATGGCAATTTACGAGGTTCTTCAACTAGGCACACACCTGACCCACGCCAGGAACGATGGAACGGACAGTTGCTCCCTCACCGTTACAAAAAGTGGGAAACTCTCAACATCGGAGGAAACACTGAGGCTTTTGGCACCACACCATGAGCTGCCACGCCTGTTGATTGCATACCGTAAAACGGCGAAGCTGCTTCAAACATACACAGTGGGCATGATGGAAACAGCTTTTCCTTTCAAAGGCAATGACAGTGAGTTTACAGACAATCGCATTGGGGAGAGCAGTGACAAAAAGGACGATACCCCCGTCAAGTGGGTCACATTACATCCAAACTTTGTTCAAGAGGGCACTGACACGGGACGGCTCTCATGTGTGGAGCCAAACCTACAGAATCTTCCACGTTCCAAGGCAATTGCCGAAAATGATAACAGTGAACCATACGAAGCTGAAATGGCCACTTTTCGCCGTTGTTTTGCTGTGCCTATAGGGTTGACGTTGTTGTCTGTGGATTATGAACAGATTGAGTTGCGAGTTGTGGCGCATTTGTCTGCAGACACAGCACTTGTCGATGCGATGACGAACGCAACGGATGTTCACCGTAACATTGCTGAGAACATCTTCCGGAAGTCACCTGTAAACGTTGAGGAAAGAACACTCGCAAAGCGGGTTGTCTTTGGCATGCTGTACGGCGCTGGACCTCGAACGCTAGCGACGCAAATGGGAGTGCCAATGGAACGGGCACTACATGTGATGTCACTCTTCAAGGCCTCTTACCCACAGATTGAACGATATCAACGCCGCGTGATTGATCAGTGTCGTACCGATGGCTTTGTGCGCACGATGACTGGCCGTATCCGCTCACTCCCTGACATCAATGACCGAGTCATGGCAAAGCGAATGTATGCGGAAAGACAGGCGTTCAATTCCGTTATTCAAGGAAGCGCTGCGGATGTCATGAAGCTTGGGATGCTGGCCGTGGAACGTGATGTATTGCAGTTGTACAACGGAGACGTGCGCCTTTTGGCGCAGATTCACGACGAGATTGTTCTCTCTGTCCCAACGCACAAGCTGCGAGAGGTGGTGCCACTCGTGTCACGGAGCATGATGCACGCCGTCTCATTGCTCGTTCCGCTCCGTGTGACTGTGAGGATTGGACAATCACTTGGAGAACTGGAGGACTGGACGGTGGATCATGAACTGGGCATCCGCTAGCCAGTAATCTCTTTGCCTTCACTATTTATTTAGTTATTTCACCCTTTGCTTCTTGTTGGGATTATCTTGTTCTGTTTGTTGTTGTTGTTGTTTTTTCTTTGCTGTTTCCTTTTTTAACCCACAGATTATTATTCTCGCGAGGAGCGACGACAGATATTCATTATTATTGACGTGTACGAGAGCCGTTTTGTTGTTGTTGTTTTTATTACTTTACGCGTGTGTGAATGTGAGTGTGTGTTGCCCTTTTTTTTTTTTTTGTTCCTCTCACACATTTGTTTACCCGCCACATACCCTCCTGGCTTTTTCTTATCGCGTAACACCATTGTTTTCTTGCCTGTGGCGTTGTACTTTGCCCTTTTGATATTACTTTTTTTTTTTTGAAGATGAGCGCCCGTGATGAACTGATAGGGAGGCTTAAGGTGGCGCTGGCTGAGATTCAGCAGCGCGATTCCTACTCCTCTAATGCCTCGCTTGACAGTGAGCTTCTTGGGGTGGTTGCCGATTACATTGAGCAGGGTATGGAAAGGGAGACGGCTTTGCAGCGTTTGCGTGGGGCTCTGCTGCGGTCAGAGGCAGCGTTAGGAGGAGGGTTTGCCCCCGCGGTGGAAGAAGGCGGGGATGAAGGACCGAGAGAGGCAGCGTCCTTGGGAGTGTCCGCTGAGGAGATGGGACGACGGCGTGCCGAGCGCCTTCTTGCACAGGCGCTTACTTTGCGCTTTCGTTAATGCTTCGTGTTGTAGGACTCAATTCCCCACGCCTCTTTCGTTGTTGTTGTTTTTTTTGTCCCTGCCCGTATCTCTTTTTCCGGCTCCCTTGTGTACACGCGCCCCATGATCAACATAATTCTGCGGATGTGTGTGTATATGTGTCGACGAGGGGGGGGAAGAGTGATCGATAATGCACGCCATTGTTTTTATTGACACTTTGTGTGGGTTTAACGCTTCATCTTTTTGTTTTTGTTTCTCTTTTTGTTTTGTTTTGTTTTGTTTCATAGAAGCCTGAAATGGTGGTGAGTGTTCACAAACACGACCGTGTGCGGTGGGCGTGGCACGTGCTTGGAATAGATACAAACCCCTCCTATGACGACATCCGTGCTGCGTACTGCAGGCTCGCTGTCACGACTCACCCGGACCGCTGCACCGATCCAAGCGCAAAGGAGAAATTTCAGATGTTGCACGCCGCGTATGAGACGGCGCTAAAGAATAATGCGGAGGCCAAAGAGAAGAAACGTCGCACGAAAAGTGGTGAGGTGTCAGAATTTGACTGGCGAGCGGAGGTGGCGCGTGTGCGGGCGGCGTATAGCAGCACTTTTAAATGCCCGCGTGCCTCTGATGCGTCGAGGACGCCGTGGCAGAACGCGAACCCAAATCCGTCGTGCAGCGTGCCGCAACGAACAAACAAGAGGCGCTGTGCCGATCAGAAACCCCAACCAGGGGCGCACATGGTTGAGGCGAGGCGGACGACTGCCGCGAGGGGCAGGGCATCCGGGTCATCATCGGCACAAGAAGAAGAGGAGCGTCGTCTGCAAGCCATTAGGGTGCGTCGCCGCGGTTATTTGTCTCCTTCACTGAATTTAATGCGCCGCATCGTGACACGAGAGGCATCCCGGCGACATGCCATAGTGCGACTTGAGCAGAAGGAGCTGCGGTGTATTTTTTTAGGTAGTCTGGAGGAAAGGATTCGGCGAGCTATAGAAAACTGGGCAGACGCCTTCTGGGTGGATATGAGCGAGCAGTGGTCCGAGCTTATTTCCTTTACCACTCGCTCACACAATAGAAGTGTATGAAGACGGGAATGGAAGCTTTTGTGTGGTCATGTGTAAACAGGAGAAGGGGTTTTTTGCACTCTGTCGATGTTCATTTGTCTTTAGCTTTGGATTGCTCCTCCCACACCTCACTTTTTTTTTTTTTTTTTTTTTTTGTGGTATATCTTTTCCCCTGTATGCAAAAAGACGTTTGTTTTTATGTGCGTAGCTGTTGTTGTTTTTTCTTGTGTGTATGTGCGTGTGTGCGATCCTGTGAAATTTTTTTGTCACGGATTTTTTCTTGATTGATGGGGACTGACGGAACGTGGGATGGCCGTGTCCTTCTTTTAATTGCTCCCAAAGCATGGACCCACATGCCTGCTGTTTAATCAATACGCATCGTTTTGTGAAAATTGTTAGTGTCAGTCCTTGCTTTTCTCAAATGGAAGACTAAAAAGAGAAGGGAGAAAAAAGTTCGTGAATGCATACGTAGCTGTTTAGATAGAACCTTTCTTATCGCATATATATATATATATATATATGTATGCGTTTTTTTCCTATTCTTGAATCTCCCTTTCCTTAAGCGTTTTTGTCTTCTTGGCTGGTAAGATTCTTTACTGCGCCCACTTGGTAACCTTATATGTGGTGTGTGTGAATTCGTCTTGATGCTTTCTTCTTGTTAATTATTATCGGTGATGTATGACGTCTCCTTTTTCTTCTTTCTTGTTGTTCTCTTTTTCATTGTGTGCGGATGTAAATTGCGAGTCATGGGCTGGAGAGTCTCCTGCGAATGGTATGGGAGTGGGCCTTTCGCTGGCTAAAGCCTCGCAGTGGCGTAGAGGATAAGAAGGCATCTGAGGAAATTTTGGCGTATGAAACTCTGAGGAAAGCGCAGACGGAGCTGAAACGTCTTGAAAATGACATTGAGACCAACACGGGAACACTCCGTCAGTGTGAGGAAGCACTGGATTCCCTCTTTCACAAGGAGTTGCAGCTGCGGGAAGGGTTAGAAGGAATCCTTATGGAGATGCATGATCATACTTCAGTGGATTTGGAGAATACGATCAGAAATAATAGCGACGGCATTGCATCTCTCCAGCAGATTCTTATGCATATCCAGCGGAAGAGGGGAAAACTACACGACCAGGGATATCGGCTTTATATCCAACTGCAGTGCCTGAAGGCGGAGAAAAAGGGTGTTGTCAAATCGACAAATATGCTGCTGTCGCGTTTATTGGGGAGCGGTTTGGCTGTTCAAAATGGAATGGGTGAGGAGGACGGAAAGGAGGGGGAACAGGGTGACGATGACGATGGCAGCTGGAGAGCCGTGGTTCACTCGCCCCCAGTGTCGGTGAGCTTTATTGAGGAATACAGGGAGAAAGAGGGATCGTAAAGAAGCAAGGAGGAAAAGTGTGTCATGATGTATTCCTGTCGCGCGTTCTTTGTTTTCAACTTGTTGTCTTTTTTTCCACATCATTCAGCGTTGTTTGTTGTCGTTGTTAATATTTGCTTGTTCGATGCGGAAAGGAGGATTTTATTCTGCGGATGAGGGTGTCACTTGTGGCACTTTGCTTTTTTTCGTCTTGTGTGTGTGGGACCCTTTCTTTTTCCTTTGCGGAAGTGTGTGTGTTTGTGTGTGTGTGTGTGTGTGTGTGTTTGTGTGTGTGTGTGTGTGTGTACTCTTCATTATTTGTTTTTGTTGGTATTTCTTCGCTGGCACGCATAATAACTCGGGAAGGAGCGTGGGAAAAGGGAGGAGTATTCACATGCCTCAAGAAGAAGGGGATTTTGATGGCGTCAATCCCGACGTGCAGGCTCGCCTCGTCGATCTCATCATCTTCAGTGACCAGGCAAGGCGCCGCATCGCCGAGCTGGAGTCCACCGTGGAAACGTTGGAGCAAACTTTGTCGGAACTTCGTAGGAACGACACTCACTCGGCAGCCACACTGCGTCGTCCACTGTCAGCACCGCTAATTGACCAGCCATTCAAGGAGAACGGCCTGCAGCATATATGCAGCTGGAACGAGCAGCTTGTAGACACTGTAAATGCCCTGCGGGGCGCCATGCTGAAGATGGAGACCGAAGCGAAAGTGCAGATCGTGGTGCTCAAGGACGAGGTGGAACGGCTACGTCGGGAGAGTGATTCCCTACGCCGTGAGAACGACGCGCTGAAAGAGCGGGTGGCAGATGACGTGCTGCGACAGCGACAGACAAATCGCGTGGAGATGGCGGTTGAGAAGGCTAAAATTGCTTCAAGAGTCCGTGCGGCAGGTTTGCGCCGTTTGGAGTTTATGGAAGCTGTGCTAATGGAGACCCATGATGATCTGTATTTTGCTCAGAGGTTTGACGCGGCGAAACTGCCTGTTCGAGATGTGACGTTTGTCATTCATGCTGTGCCGAATGTGCCCACCCAACACCTGAGCGCAGAGGAATTTACAATGACAATCTATCAGAATGTTTTGTTGGAGGCTGCAAAGAAGTACAGCGGATACCACGTGTGTAGCCTGAGGGAGATTGAAGTTTTTGCTTTTTACAGTGCCATAGCTGCCCTTCATTTCTCAAGTGAGTGCCACGTTGGGGTGAAAAATCTCCCATGGCCAGCACGCACCACCGATATTCCGTTTTTTGCGCCCGTGATTGATGACGGAGAGCTTCTTTACAGCGGTCCTCGCATGCATACTTGCATGTATACGTGTAATCCGGGATCGGAAGTGGACCCCATCAATGGTCGTTCAGTGTACTACGGTCAAGAGGTGAAAGACGCTCTAACAACGGCGCTTCAAGGGGCTCCCATTGGCGAAATAGTGGCGAATAAGGCGTGTGTGATCATGCTGTTCAAGGAAGCGAACATTATGAATGACGTTCACGATGAAGTTTTTTTGGAAATGAGCCGTGTGCGTGCCAAATTGGGCGCGGGATGGAGCATCGTTGCGTCAGAGCGAACTCTCGGGAATCTGTTTTGTTCTATTCTCCCCAAATCACTTGAACGCCGCCGCGGAATACCGCCGTATTATCTTCATCCTTCCCCACGATTCCCACGCGGCAATATTGATGTGGATACACTGCTTCCACAATTAATTGCCTCCATGAAAGGGGTAACACGTCCCTGTCAAGGCGGCACTCAACAAAAACCGCAGGCACAACTGCAAATACAGTCACACTCACAGCAGCAGCTGCCGCACCATGATGGATGGGTCGATGGTATCTACCGTAGCAGAAAGCGTGCAGCTGAAAATCGCGACTCTAATTCTGAGGATGTCGTTTCACTTTATTTGCTACGGCGGGATAGGAAAAACATCATAAGTCTTTACAATAAACTGGAAGCGGTGAGCGCCTTTCACGAACAGACGTTGATGGAGGCAGAGGATTGGTATCTTGCCCGATTCCAGTCCATTGATCCAAATGAAACGGTTTACTTGTGCACCGTTGACGTCGGCAGTAATTCCTCATGGAGAAAATTTACTCAGGTCTCCATGGGCTTGGAGGAACACCACCAACTGCGGCACCAACTGTTCTCTTCGGCTCTTCTACATGGAAAAAATAACTTTGGTGTTTACGTAAATGGCAACAATACGGACGTTTTTACTTTTGCCTTTCGACGTACAGAACATGCTCTGCGTTTTACCGCCCAGATGTACACTGTTGTGAAGCAGAAATGCGAAGCATTCAACAAATCAGAAATGTGTCTCATGAGAGCCGGGATCACGGTGGGAAAGCTGCAACCCTCGAACGACAGTCACACAGCTAGTACGAATACGGCCTCTGGCACCGCCACGGATTGCAAAGCTACTCGCATGGTACTGTGCCGCGGTAAAGCATTGGTTTGTTCCGGTCATTTGTGTGATTTGGCATGCCGCGGGGAAATTCTGGCTGTTGCAGAGGTCATACAGGCCTTCCAATCGAATAAATCGAATCTTTTGAGCATGGAGTACAATGTGTTGAAGAAAGGCGGTCGGTTTCTGGGATCATACTCCACTCTGGTGGATGTGTACTCGATTCTTCCCAAGGCTTATGCGTACAGACGTCAGTTACTTAAGGGTGGGGACGATGGGTCTTGTAGAGACGAGTGCGAATCTCCACGTTCCTCCGTCAAGGCGGCCTTGCAGCTTGGCAAGCGTGTCATGTCCCGCGAAGAAGTGGAGCAACTGCTATTGCAGCATCAACAACTCCTAGAGAAGGCCGAGGCGGCTATGATGGCTGCTGAAGACAATGCCTGGGAAATCACCACGCAGCAGGCCCTCAGTTTGCCGTGGCCCGTCGTCAGCAGATCCGGCGTCAGAAGTACGACAGCAGAGAGGAGTTTTTTATACTGTGACGCTGTTGACATTGTCGCAATTTCTCGTGCGGTACCTGAAGAATTATACAAGAATATTATGGGCCAATATAATTACGTTGTGAAGGAAGCATTGCTGGCATATGATGGGTTTATTGCAAAGACGGATTCTACAGCGGCGTACATTGTTATGTTCACCGAGCCACATTGTGCGTTGGAAGCAGCGTTACAAATTCAGCGCAGACTTCTGGCAGTGGACTGGCCACAAAGAATAAAAACACTAGAAGCCACACTTCATGTAAAAAGCTGTAAGACACATATTGTGTTATTTGATGGAATTCGTGCAAGGATGGCGGTACACGTGTCTAAAGATTATCAATCCACTAGGACACTTTGTGGTGACGATAAAGAATTTGTTGAAGTGTTTGGTCCGGCCATAGAGACAGTTGCGGAACTCGGTTTTCAGGCATGTGGTGGTGAAATAATTGTGACGCCTTTTGCTCTGTCTAGGATTGGATCCACCTTACATGGTTCAATGCTTCTGCTGCAGGTTGCCATGCGGGTGGCAAGGATACAGTCTTCTAATAAAATGTTACTTGCTTCATGCGTACCGCGGAGGTTGTGGGAGCGGCTTCATCTTTTTGTCCCCGCCGCGCCGGTTACTGAGGTGGCAAAGCAGGGCACCGGTTCCAAGTTGAGGCAGTTGAAAGTGGCGGAGAGGAAAAAGTCGTGGTGGCGAGAGGGAAACAATTCCCTGTTGTCCCTGCCATTTTCTAGTCAGGCACCGTGGGGAGAGAGAGTGAGTGCATCCCACAGCGCCTTTGCCTTTTCTATCCAGGCCTCTTTGGGAGGCGCCGTGGGCCAAATTCGGCGGGAGTTGTCCTCCTCCATTGGTTTGAGCACGCACCGTGAAGTATTTTTAAACATCGTCTGCGAAACCCTCATGAACCTGAGCCATCTTTTTCGGGTGGTGGAGGACGGAGTGTCCAGGGCAAATGTATTGTCACCACTCCCACCGCTAGAAACAGGAGCAGCTGCTGCAATGAGCCGTGACGCTTCACCGAATAAAATCCGACAGACCTTTTCCCCGGACCACCGCTCCTCCGGGACCTTCAATATGAAACTCATGCACAGCAGTGACAGCACCTCCTCACCGTCGTTGTCGATCTCCGGCGAACCACACAAGAATGCAGTGCAGATGTTGGACAACTTATTGAGGGGAGCCTTGCATCGGATGGCTCGCGCATTGGGCGGAACGGGCAAACCGCATTTAGCGTCTTCGTCGAATCGCATGAGCACGTTCAAATCAGTTTCCAGGCGTAGCTCCCCGAAGCTTAGCGGACCGCTGAGGCCCCTCTAGCATCTGCCTCAGTCGATGTAAAAAAAAGGAAGGTAAAAAAAAAAAAAAAAGGAGTGATTGAGGACACACAGACACAAAAACAAATATATGCTCATTATTCGGAAAAGGACATCATGACAGAACTTCCTGGTCTGTACATATATTTGTGGAAAAGATGCATTTTCCTTTAGACCTGTTTTTTTTTTCCGTGTGTGTTTTCTCTCTGTCTGTGTGTTTGGGCAAATTTTTTTTTGTGTGATTTTCTCATTGTTTTTTTTTTTTTTTTTTTTGCTTTTTTTCTTTACGTGAGCATTTTGGTTGGACTGCTTTCCATCCTCATCCTCATTGTCTTCTTTCCCCTCGTCCCGTATCACTTTTTTTGAGTTGCGCATTCCAAGAAATAGATTGAAAAGGAAGCATACAAATTGCACATACACAAAAAAAAAAAAAAAAAATTTGTAGCTGCCCGGGGGAGCTTGCAACCACCAGCAAAATTCTCCAAGCGGGGACACGCTTAGGGCATTTCTCTTGCCACGACCTCTCCGCTCACCCGGGCAGAACGCGATATGACGGTAGCTGGCAGTGACGACGACAAACAAATTGATCGTAGCCATCGTAGTGATGGGAGCTGCTGCAGTATCAGTAGTAGTAGCAGTAGCACTAGCAGTACTCATGGTGACGACGGGATCCCGCACGCCAATGGGGTGGTCAGAGTCCACCAAGGCAGGTCACTATTGTCAAGGATTTTCATGTGTCATTTATCGCTGTTTTGTGTGATTCGTTACCTTGCTCGGCTCTTGTTCTCTGGATTTGCCGCAGTCAGGGCTGCCAGGGACTCCGAAACGTACGCCATGCAAAAAAAAGAAGATGATTTCTCATGTGGGAACCAGAAAGACTCCGAGCGAGGTGGTGGGATCACAGCCAAAGGTATTCAAGCGCTCAGATCGCAGTTCCGGCTCGACTCTGACACCGATACAGAGACGACAAGCGGCCGTTCTTTCTCTTCTGCAGCAGTTAGTGGGGAAGCGCGGCGTCGCCTTCGGGCTAATTTACTTATACGTCAATTTTTTAAAAAAGAGAGAACCGAAAGCATGCTGAGGACTCTTCGTGTCCATGCTTGTACTTGGAACGTGGACCGCCAACCTCCCCCTAACGGCAATAATGGTTTTTATGAGTGGCTATTAGGGCGGAAACTAATGGGAAAGGTAACTACCTATTGGGATTTAAGCAAAGAAGCCAGAGAAAATAGCAATGAGACTACCCCTCCTTTTCCGATTGAAGAATTCCCTGATATTGTTATCGTTACTTTGCAAGAAGTGGAAATGGGCGGAGTTGTTCTCGTAAGGGAATACACTGAAACGGGAGTCATGTGGACAGAGGCCATAGTAGATGCCTTGAACAAAATTAGTGAACATCGAGTATGGTACAAGAAGGTGAAGTCGGTGCAGCTCGTGGGACTGGTACTTGTCGTTGTGGCACGCGTTGAACACATCAACTACGTGGCAAATGTTCGTGTCTCCCTCACAAGAACCGGTGCGATGCGTGGGGTCTGGGGAAACAAGGGTTCGGTTGGAATTCGGGCCACAATATACGGTAAACGGTTTCTATTCATTGCCGCACATTTCGTGGCACATAAACATAACGAACGCACCCGTACCCTTAACTACCATGCCTCGCTTAAGGATCTCATGTTTGAGATGCCGGCAGGCGTGGATAGTGAACTGGATGTGTTGGAGACATTTAGTACCGCCGCACGAGATTCTAATATGGAGCATGGCATCATTGAGAAGCGTTCGAGGTTGACGCCCTTCTTTCGAAATTTGCGCCGAACCCCCTCCGCGCTACTGGAGAAAGAAGTGTTGGACAAATACGACTATGTATTTTTTCTTGGGGACCTAAATTCCCGTCTACATGGTCTGAAAGGCACAGACATCCGTCGCCTGGTTCGGAACAAGGAGTACGATCGACTCATCTGCCATGACGAGATACGGCAAGGGATGGTCAGCGGGGACACTTTTGACGGCTTTCAGGAGGCCCTTATAGCGTTTCCGCCCACGTACAAACTTGACCGGAAAACAGATTTGTACGACACGAGTAGAAGGAAACGTGAACCTGCATGGTGTGACCGCATTCTCTTCCGTGTCTGTCTCCCCTGCGAGAAATCCGACGACGACGATAGCAATGATCATGATGTTGGTGGTGTGAATAGGAATGACGGGAACAACAAACAAGAAGGTGAGAACAGAGCTTTGTATGGATCTTTCTCATATTTAAATAGCAGCACCAAATTAATGTACAGCATGCCGGAGTTTTCGGTTCCTGTGGACAATGTAAATGAACGGCTCAACAGAACGGACGACGATGTCGTTTCGCTCCAATCATCTACTTCTTCGGTGAGTAGCGAAGGTGCGGTATCGTTGCTTGGAAAATCGGATTCCGTGTTGTCTGATGTGCACTATCGGAGCTGTTACTTGGAGACCCTGTCAAAAATGAGGGCACAGAATTTTCAAATTTCTTCTTTCACTCATCGTGACGTCTCTTTAGATGAAACAGAATCGCTGCCAACTTTTCTTGCTGCAAGGCGATCGACGTGCACCGATAAAAGATTCAAGTTTTTCCCGATGATTCCAAACAAGATGCTCGTCGTTGACTACCATCATGTGCAGGCTCTGCGACATTCCGACCACCGGCCTGTTTGTGCGCAGTTTAGGGTGTCCGTTCTCTCGTTCGAGAAGGATTTAGTGGACAGTGTGCTGCAAAAGGTGAATGAAGCTTTTTATTTGGAGGAGAATAATCCTCTTCACGACTCATGACATGATGGGTGTTTATTCCTGATACTCCATTAATTGGCTTCTGCTTCTTTTTGCCGTTTTTATTTTTTTTTTTCTCTCTCTCTCTCTCTCTCTCTCTCTCTTTTTTTTTTTTTTTTATTTGCGTTGAGCACGTACATTTTAATTATGTAAAATATATTTCCATCCATGGTCTGAGGAGAGGGGGTAAGTGAGTGGTGTGTTCCTGTCCTTTGAACTTTTGCTTTCTCCCTCCCTCTCCATAAATATGCGTGTACATTCCCTTCTTTGCATGTACACTTCATATGTCTTTTAATCCTGTTGTTGTTGTTGTTGTTGTTTATTTTCTCTGGGTTTACTGAGCCCTTAAATCAAGTTGCCGCTGGAAAGGGGGGAAAGGAAAATACAGTTTTATGCGCACCGATAGCAACGACTGCGATGTGGGACGCAGTTTCAAGGAGACTTTTTTGATTTACTGAAAACCGTCCTGGAAGCCAGCCTCCTGCAGTGGATTATTTTTTTTTTCCCGTATGTGTGTGCGTGTGTTAGTGCGTTTGTGATGTGGATTATTTTGTGCCATGGCAAATTCTGTAGGGCGGCACGTCTCTTCTCTTGCGCCTTCACGCCTCTTCCGCAGGCCGGAAAAGTGGCAGTTCTTTTCGACAAAAACGAACACCATTTTCTCTGTGTTTCTCCAGGGGCACTAGGGGCCCCTTCGGCGTATGTAGCCGAAGCAACAGTCTTTACCGAAGAGGCTTTGCGTTTCTTGTCGTTTCTTTTTTTTTTTTTTTTTTTTTTTTTTTTTTTTTTTTTTTTTGCGGGGGGGGGGAGCGGTTTACCATTGCTATCTTGATGGGACTCGCATTGCTCAGTTTTTTGCATTTGATCGCCTTGCTTCCTTTTTTTTCTCATGTCTGTGACTCTTGCGTTAGTTTCTCTGTAGTTCTGGTGTGCAGGCATTCCTTGTGTCCTTCTCAACTGGTCCCGTTTTCAATCTCTTTTCCTCTCTCTACATCATCTGTTAGAGGAAGTAATGCAAGGATTGCCGCATGGCGTGGATGAGCATTTTGGCATCCGTGTTGCCGCCAGGAGCAGCAAATTGCGTGCCAGACAAGAGGCTAATGGAAGAGCACATGTGGCGGGATCAGGGGCTCAAGTGCCCTTGCGCACCCGGACCATTTTAGCGCCACGGCTGCAGCTGCGCACCTACCATGACAACACAGCGATGCGTGATGCGCTGGAGGAGTTGAAAAAGGCATGCGGTCACTTTCCTCTTGACGATGCGGAGGAAATGGAAAAGATGAATCCCACGAATAGCAGTGCGGGCTTTACACCTTCGCAGCTCAATCAAATGCCTGGCCACTTGATTGTTTATTGCTTCACGTATTGTGACTTGGAGTCTCTTTGCGAGTTGGGGCGTGTCAGTCTCCGCTTTGCCGCCCTGTCCAACGCCAACCTTTTGTGGGAAACTCACGCCCGCCTGCGGAATGTAACAACGAGTGCGCCGGAATCTGCCCGAGAAGATCTCCGGCGTGCTGTGCTTGAGCAGCACGAAAGGTGGGAGGCGGAAGTACAGCGGCATGAACGCGAGTACGAGGCGTTGGAACGTCGCTTGCATGAGCGCGCCGCCGCTGAGCTCGCGGCCCCTGTCGACGTAAATGCTACCCTCGCGAACACTCGGCCCAGGAGATTTTTTGGTGGTAAAAGCAACGGTAGAGATGCCGGCAACGCTGCTGATCAAGAAGCATTTTCCGCGCAGTTAGAGCAACTTGAGTCAGTGAAACTAGACCTTATTCGTGGCATCCGCGAAATGAAATCGGAGCTGGCTCAGCAGAAGAGGCAGATTGAAGAGCTGCAAATGTGGGTGGCCAAGACAGAGGAGGCAAATTGTGAAGCGGGGAATACAACCGCCGCATGTGAAGCGGAGGGAATTACCTTTTTGGCTCTTCAGGCCTTTGAACGCCGTATCTGCCGAATCGTGCTGAGCGCTGTCAATGATCTTCCAACTGTGCTGCGCAGAGGCGTCGACGATTTTGCTACTATGGAACTGCTTTGTCTATTTGGTGCTGGCGATGTTGGCGGACGTGTGCGGCAGCGTTGGGCCGCCTTCAAACGTTTCTTTCCCCCGATGTCGGAAGACTACGGAACCGTCAGGTATTTACTTATGACTGGAGAGCCGCCCTCTTCAGACCGAGCGCGCGAATGCGTTGCTTCTCTCGGTGGTGTGATTCGCCGTGTGCAGCGGATGACAGATAATGAAATTGTGCAAATCATCATGTAAAAAACAACAACAAAAAAAGAATTACGTTCATGTGAAGTCTTGCAGAAGGAATGAGAAGATGAGAGTTTGTAGCGTGGGTCCTTGAACGGTATATATGTGTTTTTTTTTTTAACGTCGGGGCGCAGGCTGATGCGTTGTTCGGTGTGATAACCTTTTCCCTTTTCTTTTTTTTTTTTTTTTTTGCTGCTCTTTTTGGTGTAAAAAAAAAAAAAAAAGGGAGGGCGTTGATATTTGTCCGCAAATGCTTCGAAGATGGTCTGTTTTTGCTGTTGCCACCGAAGTGCCGACCATCGTTGCCACCACCACGACTGCAAGACCGTGGGGATCAGTGAGGGCTGCCAGCAGCAGCGCGACGGGGAATGGCGCCGGAGAAAATGCCCCATCGGTCGCAGAAGCAGCCGACGGCGCGGCGTATCGTGAAAGCCTGATTCAAGCGATATTGTCACGTGACAAGGAGATTTTTGAGCTGAAGCGGCAGCACGAGCTTTCCATGCTGCGGGTGGAGCAAAACCAGCGCCGTATTTTAAAGGACCAGGAGGACCGTGGCTTGTACTATGAGCAGAACTGTAACGTGCATACCTTTGACACCATCTCGGTCGGTCTTTACACGCAACGGAACACCCTCTACCACACCATGAGCGTCGAGAGACTGCGAAATGTGAAGCTTTTGCTGACACTTCTTGTGACTTTGTTGACATGTTTCTACCTTTACTACCGTTATATGATCAACCCTAACTGGGTGTACGTGGAAAAGCCACTGAAAATAATTGGGAGTCGCGTTGGGGCGTTGAATGATATTCGGACGCAATTGGGGAGCCAGGAGGAGGAAACGATGGCGATGCGATCGAAGCTGCGGGAGTAGAAAACAGCTTTGCTTCTCCGACTGTCGGTATTGCCGTCTGTGCCTGCTTGCCTGCCTGCGTGTTTATGTGTGTATTCTTTTCTTTTCGTGAACAGAAACTCCAATGCCCACGAATTCTGCTGTTTTTTCATGTGCGTATTTACGTATGCACGAAGGCATGTAATATATCTTACACAGCTGCTTTTTTTTTTTTTTTTTTGCGTTTCTTGTCTTTTTTTTCTTTTTTTCTTTTCTCTTGCTTGACTTGCTTCTCCCATTTCGGCCGGGTGGGAGGTGCTGGTAAGACGCACGTGCGAATAAAGGAAGCAACACGTCATAATGCGACGAATTTTTTGTAAATCTGGCCTTCTGGCCCCGGTCCGGGAAATGCGGCATGAGCGTGATTTCCGTGGCCCTAATCGCCAACGCCGACAGCGTGGATTTGGCGAGGGCCGTAGCCCTTCCAACTCACGGAACAATGACGACATTGGGATTTTGCAGATAAAATTTCACACCATACCGGCTCTGCAGGTGGACATGCGAGCAGAGACTCAGATCGAGTCGTTCTTGAGATCGCAGCTGCGGGAGGATGGGTCTTCGACGTTACTGTCAACGAATGCGTCAACGTTACCCAGAGTTCGTGTGATAAATGTTCCCAGGACCACCTTGAAGCGTGCCGTGCTGGAGTTCCACGTAAGGGGAATACCGGTGCGGGCTTTAGGGCAATCAACCCGCGCAAAAAGGGCCAGGGCGCTCTGCTGCATGCATGCAGCGAGGCTCATTGACCACTTTTCAGTAGAAGACACAGACAGCAGTGCTGCGCCTCTGCCGCTCGAGGAGGGCACTGAATTAAATGCTCACAAGAAATATTTGAAAAGTGTGATGAGTATTCGAAAAACGCAGGCTTTTGTTCCGCCTCCACAGCCGGAAGAATACGATTGTTGGGAAGATTATGTGGATGAAAGTAGGCGACATATTGAACGGCAAGAGCAAGAGCGACGAAACGAGGCCTTTCAGCTGCTGCGTATCCCTCATACTGGGAACCCATTGGTTGACAGGGCGGCGGAAATGACCGAGCAGGAGCGATGCACCGACCGATTGGCTCTTCAGAAACTTAACAATGAACTTCTTGGGGTCAGCAAGGATATGAATATTGTTCGCATCTCGCATCGTGTCTTTGTCGCCACACTCACATTGGACAGTGTGACGAATTTGGTTGCTACCGGTGTAGCTGAAAGTTCACAGGGGGCGAAGCAGCGTGCCGCGATGCATGCGCTTAACATTCTTACGCTGGTGAAGGAGCAACGGCAAGCTTCTGCCGTGGATGGAAAGACATCAGCTTTTGCAGGCCGTGGAAGCTGTGCCTCGTCTGAAGCCGTGTCACTCAGCCTTACCCCACGTTATTCCAAGATGCTGGACTTTTTTTCACTTCTTTTTGGTGTGACTCCGGCTCCTGTCTTCACAAGGGAGGGAAATTCCTATATTTGTCACATGGATTTGGACGGTGTCAAGTGCACGGGACAAGGCATTAACCGGTTTGAAGCGGAGCGCCATGCCATTGAAAACGCATTGGGAGAGATGGAGTTGTATGACGAGCGGTTGCAGGGCATTAATAGCATCATTGCACAGTATCCGAAAGTCCAGCCACAGTGTGTTCCGACTGCCAAATTGCCGGAGGCGTTGAGGAATGAAATTCACGCCTTTGTACAGCGCTGTCGCACCGAACTTCACTTTCCAGTTGATGGCAATACGGTGGGAAACGAAGGCCATGGTGGTACTCCTGAAAAAATTTCAACTGATGACGTTTTGGATGCCGAGACACGGGCGGCAATGAAGGCACTGGAGGATGTCAGACGCGATGAGGCCTATGCGAGACGATTACGCGATCGGCTGTGTAACCTCAGGGCGGACCCTAAATATCTTGAGCAATTTCACATGCGTCGCTCGAGCCTGGCAATTGCTTCTGTGGAGCAGCGCATACTTGACGCGATGGATCAGCACCGTGTGGTTGTCGTATGTGGAACGACCGGATGCGGCAAAACAACCCAGGTTCCGCAGTACATACTTGATAGGGAGATTATGGAGGAACGTGGGGACCGCTGCTGCATCGTCGTGACTCAGCCCCGTCGACTGAGTGCCTTCAGCATCGCGGATCGCATTGCAAGTGAGCGACTGGAAGTGGTGGGGAAAGATGTGGGGTATGCTGTGCGTTTGGACGCTCGGCCAGGCCGTCACATCACGCTCTGCACGACCGGAGTTTTGCTCCAGATGTTATCCGGTATGCCGTCGCTAGACACGGTGAGTCATCTTGTGATCGACGAGGTGCATGAGCGTGACATCAACTGTGATGTGGCTCTGGCTCTTGTCAAACAGCTGCTGCTGGAGGGCAAAAATACAAGGTTGAAGGTTCTTCTCATGAGTGCAACGATGCAGTCTGAGATGTTTGCTTCTTACTTTGGTGATGTGCCTGTGATATCCGTGGAAGGGGCCGTGTACCCTGTGAAGGTATGCTACTTGGACCACGTGGCCCATCTTTTTCAGCATTCATTCCCTCCCGGCTACTATAGTCCCATGTTTGATGCTCTCAGCAGCGCGACCACATCGCAGGGCCGCAACACATACCGCGGCAGGGGTGGATATCGGGGTACAAGGTGGCAACTGACAACACCGCCAAAGACAGACTACGTTCTCATTGCACGTCTTATTGAACGAAGTGTGGAGGTTGATCTTCACGGGGAAGTGGAAGGAAAGTCTGTCCTCGTGTTTCTCCCGGGATGGAAGGAGTTGATGGCTGCAAAACAGGCTCTCGAAGCTCTTAACGGGGAGCAGCGGTATCATATCATTCTCTTACACTCCTCCGTGGACGCGAAGAAGCAGCGGGAGTGCTTTTCACCGGCGCCCGAAGGATTTGTGAAGGTGGTGCTTGCCACAAACATTGCTGAAAGTGGTATAACCATTGATGACGCGGCAGTGGTGATTGACACCGGTCTTATCAAGCAAACCTCGTGGGTATCGCGTGTGACTGGGACCCAACAAGAACATCATGCCTCTTCGTATTCCACTCAACTTGCTTTACAGTATGCAAGCCGCGCCAACTGTACCCAACGCAAAGGCCGTGCGGGGCGCACACAAGGTGGTATTTGTTATCGTCTTTTTACGCGAGAGGTTTGGGATGTGTTGCCTTTTTTTCAGGAGGCAGAAATTCATCGTGTTCCGCTTACACAAGTCCTGCTGACCCTCTTGTCACTTGGACACACAAAACCCAAAGAGACTCTTCAGAGGTTTATTGAACCACCTTCTGTAAAAAATGTTGAGGCTTCCATGCGACAACTGCGAAGCTTGGGGGCAGTGACTGCGGATGAGAAGTTAACGCCGCTTGGGTTGTATCTGTCACGGCTGCCATGTGACCCGCGAATTGGGAAGATGATTATGATGGGTGCTGTTTTGCGTTGTATGGACTCTGCTCTAACGATGGCAGCGACCGCGGATGTCAGCCCATTTGTGACAAGCCGAGAGGTCTCTTTTGAGGTGCGACAAAAACGACATGTCTTTTCGATGGGATCACAGAGCGATCACATCAGTGTGTTGAATGCTTACAATGCCTTCTGTGCTCGTCAAGGCGATGGTGTCTTTGCCAGCGAACAATATATCCATCGAAATAACATGCGGATCATTTCCCGCTACAAGCAACAGTACCGTGACATCCTCCGCCGTTCAGGATTCATCCGGGATGGGGAATCATTCTCTCTTGAAGCCCCTGAGGATGAGTTTATTATCCCCAATGATGATGCGGTGGCGCCGCTGCATGTTGATTCCGGTTTACTTTCCCTTGATGCTGCAGACGTCACACTCGTTAAGGCCTGTCTCTGTGCAGCTCTCTTTCCTAATGTGGCTGTGCTTGACCCTTCCCCGTTGCTTCAGGGCGGAAAAAAGGCGAAGACGCTGGTGATGCGCACCGCCACGCACAAAAACATCTCACCTTCCAAAGATAGTGCGTGCCGCCGTCTTGGACCTCCTCGTGCCCATGGTGTACTGACCCCAAAAGAGTTTTTTGGTAGAGATGCGGAGAGTGGTGCCGAAGCACCTGTCATTCCCTCCATGTTTTACATATACCAGAGCATTTTTTGCGTGCAGGAATCCAGAGAAGAGTTTCTTACACAAGTTTCTTCAGTGAGTCTGTGGGCTCTGCTGCTATTTGGTGTCGGTGAGGCGGACATGCAATTTGACCCTCTCTTGCAGCTCTGTATTCTGGGGGGTTGGATAGGCATACACATCGATGCCAGCTCCTTTGCCACGCTGCACGCACTTCGCACCACCCTGCACGCCTGCGTTTGGAGAAAATACCAGAAACCGGATGACGAGAAGAACAATGAGGCACTTGAGGTTCTCAGGCGACTCTGCAAGGAGGTATTACAGTCACCGCCAAATGATAAGGAGCAGTACCTGAACCGTCTTGTCGATACGGGGCGTATTCTCTCTCCGTCACAGCTGGAGCCAATGACCGCAGACACCAATGACGAGAATTTTGCATGGGAGTGATGGCATACATTTGAGCGTTAAGGAAAAAGAAAGAAAGAAAAGCCTCCAATTTATATTTATTTTGTTTGTGTGTTCGTTTTATTTGCCCGGTTCATAAGCGTAATAAATAAGGTATTCGCTGTATAATTCACAGAAATGTTTTTACTTCTTTTCTTCCGCGCACTCACATAGCTTATGAAGACGCTGTGTAACGTGCAATGCTTTTTTAGGGTAGCGGAATGTATAGTGTAGGCAACGTTATATATATATATATATATATATATATGTACTGGGCTACGCAAATCACTTTCTATTATTGCTATTGTTGTTCTTGTCGCTGTTTTTTTTGGTGGTGGTAGTGGTCGCCTTTTTCTTGTTGCTCCCTTGTTATTATTACTGAATTTTCTCTGTATGTCAAGGGGGAGGCGTGGGGAATGAAGAGCTCTCAAGACTTCATCCTCCCGATGTATGTGAATGTGTGTTGTTGTTGTTGCTGGACTCGTTGTCTTCCTCACGTTCTTTGCTTTCAACAGAAGACAGTGGACGCGGCAAAAAGATGTCCGCGAGCGGTAGCACCAGCAAAGACGCAAGCCCTTATGTTTGCCTCTCGGCCCATTGTGATTTGCTGCATTTCATCGGCCCGGTGCCTCACCCTTACGGCGGGCCAAACCCGCAGACAATTGCACAACGTGCCTCGCAATACGTGCGTTTTTCGTGTGAATCCTGTGAGAAGGCACCGACCGTGACAGTGAAATGCGAGCACCCGCTGTTCCCGCCCATTCCGGTTACGAGGACAACCGACGGGGTGCCATCTTTCCCGCTAACTGGCATTGAACTGGCGCGTTGGGCGTACCGGGAGAACTTTGAGTCTGTCGCGTCGCAACCGCAACTGAATCCGCACGAGAAGAAAGTTGACGTGCCTCATCCGCCCCTGCAAGGCGACTCCGCCAGAGTGACTCATGAATCCGCGTTTCCAGAACTAGCATCAACAGCACCGCTGGAAGAACCCGAATCGACCATGGCGTCGGGGCGTTCTTCCTGTATTGTGAATTTTCACGCTCTGCGCCGCATATTCCTGCAGACATTATTCATTTTGAATCTCCCTCATAGAAGTCCTGCGGTCTCATTCAGATTGTCCCTGCATGATCCCAGGCCTTTTGGTGTCACAAGTTTTTTTCTCCTCCCTCGGTGCGCGGAAAAGATGGCGGCGTTGGCACATCCCGCGAAAGTAACTCTTACCGTTGCAAGGACTACTGGCGGTGATACACTTCAGTGCTCCTGTGACTGCCTCCATAAGAAGGACGAAGAAGAGGATAGGATCATTTCTTCGCAACTACTATGGGAATTAAAAGAGGGGGATGAAAGAGAACAGTACGCCAAAGATCCTGTTGAGTTGGATTCGTTTCTTACGGGGACAATGATTCCAGTGCTCTTTGCCCTTCCTGAGGGTCTCGCTCAGCTCATTGAAAATAAGGGCGTTCAGACTTCACGGGCAATTGGTTGGTCTCAGAGACGCTCATTCCACCTCTTGGCGCTGATTGCACACTGTGTGTGGTGCGAAAAGGTGGCTTGGTGTATCATGAGCCGTTTCAGTGTTTCAATGGGTTTGTGTAGACGCCAGAAGGCGCGCCTGAAGTTACGGAACAGTGCCTCCTTGGAATCTACTGACAAGTGGGAATCGACACTGTTTTTTTACCCCACAGCGTTTAATGATGATCGTCACCAAACAACGAGGGGACGTTTGGAGGCTATTGACGTCACAGCCACTTCGTGTGCAGCATTGATTCAGGTGACAGTTTGGGGATGCGATGAGGAGATGGAATGGGAGTGGAATGGCGAGACCCCTCACGCGTCCTCTGCGGGTCTGTGCGATTTCACGGAGCTGCTTGAGAAGAAGAGATACTGACTGTGTATTTCGTGGTGAGTGCAATGAACGAGATGAATAGTGATGAAAAAGAGAAAGGCCGTAACGCGATGGCATTGACACGGCCCTTTACAGAAGGAACGGGGAGAATTCTTCATGGTGGGCCCTGCAGCGTTTTTTTTTTTTTTTTTTTTGCTTTCTCTGGCAGAAAAGGGGTCTGGCGAATAGCCACGAAAAGGAAGGGGAAGAGGAATAACAAAGGGAAGGGAGTGGGAGGAGGGGCATTCTCTTCTTGCTTGATTGCCCTCTTACTTACTGGAAAGTGTAAGAAGGGAAGATGACGGCCTGGTATTTCTTGCAGTCTGCACTTGTGGCACTCTTTTTTGTCAAGGATGTTTCGGCATTGGAACGCTGCCGCCCTATTGAGAGACTGAAGGGCCTCAACCAGGAGATACTCGCGATGCAGAGGGGAGGGTTTTATGCAGGTTATGAGTACTTCTGCGCCGAAGACGCTCCCCGGCAATTCCACTGCCAGTGCGGAGTTGACACCATCTGCAAGAATAAAACAGATGCCTGGGGTAGGAATGTTGGGGTGTGCGCCTGTTGCCCGTGGTGGATGATAGTTTTATTCGCGATTCTTACTGTTGTCGCGGTGGTGGCCATCAGTACTACCCTCTACGTGTGGTGCTGCCGCGGCAAATGGTGGTTTGACGGATACCCGCCACCGGTTAAAGCCATCATGTGCCGCCGCGGAGCCGCCACCGTGGTGCCCGCCACAGGGCCGCTGCCGCCGAACCTCTTTCGTGGCTACCGCACTTCGGAGTTTGTGAGTGAACCCACCGAGCAACCCCCGTCACGTGTGCCCCTTGCAGCCCGTGGCGGCGAGGCACCGAGGTATTTGTACCATGAGCATCGCCGGCACTCATCACCACCACAAAATCCGCCGCATTCACTGCAGCAACGTCTTAGCGAGCGGAACCCTCTGAGCCATCGCTAGTCGGGACATCTCGATGTGTCGCAAACACGCTACAGCACCCCCTCTCCTCCAATCCGTGGGAAACAAATCGGGAATTTCGTTACCCCGGCCACCACAATGCTCTTCGAGGGTAAATAATGGATTGACGAGTGGGAACGGAGAAAAACAAAAAAATATTTGCTGTTAAATCAAAAAGACAAATAAAAATCCATTTATTTGCTTGCATCTTTTCTTCTTTGTGTCCCGAGGAAACGATTTCCAAAATGTGAATTGCGGCAGTCTCTTTCCTTCACACAATTATTTTTTTGTTTTGAATGCTCTTCAATCAATCGAAAATGAGACGTATTTTTGTCGGTTGCGTTTGTAGATGCTTTGCCCGCACCAGCGCAGCGGTTGGCCAACGTGAGGGAACGATAGAACACGGAGAAAAGGAGAGGAATTTGTTGAGCACTTGAGAAATGAAAAGAATTGGCGGAATGTGCATCTGGATGCACATTCTCTCTACGGATCTAAAGTGAAAGGAAGAAAAAAGAAGACCGGTGCGAAGGAGTGTTTCACGTGTTCAGTGGCTGTGTACACAAAGGGCTCCATATACTTTTTTTTTTTATATATATGAGCCCTTATTTTTGCCGCCGGGGTTTATTTGATTGCCCAACTCTTTTTAATTACTATCTTTGTGCTGTGTATTTTGTTGGGATTCGTTTTCCTTCCGCGTGTTGAGTGTGTGCCCTGGAATGCGCGGTTTAGGAATATGTATTTACAGAAACATGCACCACTCATGCACGCCTTTTCACCAGCAAACCATTCCCTTATCTTTTGTTGTTGTGTTTCTTTGTGGCAATACGCTGCTGTGTTTTTATCTTTTTTCTTTTTTTTTTTTTTTTTTTTTTTTTTGCTTCTTCCGCTTGCTTTTTTTCATTTTAAGGGGGGGAAGGAGGGAGTGGATTGAACGATACTGACTTAATATTAAGGTAGTGAATTAGTTAAGCATTAAAGAACCATGTCCAATGAACCGTCTGACGCCGCTATAATATGTGCTACAAGTGATACGACGTACATGGAGGAAATTATTCTTCAGAATGAGGCTCTTCTCCTTGAGGTTGAGCAGCTGCGCTCTGTCGTGAAGGGAAAGGGTCTTGATCAGCTGCAGCAACTGCGTGGAGAGAATGAAAGACTTCAACAGCTACTAAAACTGTCGGAGTCGCAACTGGCGGAGAGGACGCATCAGCTGGAAGTGCTGGAGTCTGCATATAACCGATTTGACGGTGTCCACTCCGCCATTCATGAATTGACAAAGCAACAAAAGGCCCTTTCCGAAATGAAGGAGCGATGCATCAGTCTTGAAGAACATAACACGGCTCTCAAGACGGAGTTGGTCAAGACGAGTGAGTCAGAGGAGGAACTGCGAAAGGCACTGCAGGAAACGGAGAGAAGTCGTCACGTGTTGGAGGAGGAGGTAAATAAATTACGCGCTTCCGTTACGGAAACGAAATCACGTCTAGAAAGTGTTGAGAATTTAAAGTGCTCCGCGGAGGAGGCGCTTGAAGGGGCGAAAGCCTCGATTGCTAAGTTGCAGGCCCACTCAGAAGACCTGGAAGAGAAGAACGAGGCTCTCAAGAGACGTCTACGTGACGCGGAGCAAGAAGCCTGTGAAGAGTCGCGGATCAGGAATGGGAGGCACACTTTGATAGAGAAGGAACTGGAGGATTTACGAGCCAAAAAAGCAATCGGGGAGAAGAAATTAATGGAGGCGGAACGGGCGCAGGCGAGGCTGCAAGAGGAGCTGCGCTTAGCAAGGGAGGCGCTAGCGGCAAAGGAACAGGATACATCAAGGACGCTTTTGCAACAGCGGGATCAGGTGGAGAGGAAATTGAAACTGGAATTCGGGAATCTTCAGCGCGCACTGGAGGAGAGAGAGCGGTCGCTGCGTCAGCAGGTGGAGCAGAATATACGCCTGAAGGAAGAACTCACAATGCTGAGCGCGGAAAACGATATTCTGATGCGTCGCAAGCAACGGGAGCCTGTCGACGTCTTGCAGCTCCAAAACAGACTAAAGGAACTCAGTGATGAAACGTCCAAAAAAGAAGCACTGCAGAAGAGGTTTCAGGAGATGCTTAAAAGCAGTACAGCCACCAACAGTGACATTAAGCACCTTTTTGCGCAGATGCTTGACTACCAGGAGCGAAGAGATGAGGAAATGCGGACGATGATAGCCATTGAACGGATTAAAACAGAAGATATGAAGAATATGTACGAACTTAACCTGGAAAAACTTCGAGCAGAGCAAAAAAGTCTTGTTTATGAAATTCAGACCTTGAAAAGTGAGGGGGATGCTTCCCTCACTAGGAGAATAGCACCAGCAGAGGCTGAAATATCGCATGAAGGCACGCAGTACGGGGCAGTAGCGGTGGGGAATAGCTTGATGCCACAGGCGAATGCGAACCCACCGATGTTTGTGGGTCCAACAGAAAGGGTACACCCGGTTGCCAGGGTCGGCGGCAGCGACGTCGGTGGTACGAGTGTCAGTGTTGCACACGATTTGTGGCAACGCTCACTGACACGAGCAGATAGAGTGCAGACGACGGCGATAAACTACGAGCCCGCCCAATTGCGTTCCCCTCAAGGGGAGCGTTTGAGTTTGCTGGCTTGTCCCCGTTGTACATTTTTGAATCAACCAGGCATTACCAAATGCGAAGTCTGTGGCGCTTCCCTTTGAAAGAAATCACCAGATGAAGAAGGCGTATGATATTTTTTTCCTTATGAGTTTTTTTTGGGGGGGAAAGAAAAAAGGGTATTATGTGTGCGCATTGAGCTTTTTGGTTTATTTTTTTGTTTTTACGTTTAATTCTTATCCTTTTTGAGCTATTTGATGAAGACGCGGTGATTACTGCCGTTCTAACAAAAGCTTTCTGCTGAAGTGGTTTTTTCATGCTCTGTGTGGTTCCGAGAAGCCATGGGTGGGCCGGAGCATATGAGCCTTTACCGCATCCAGTTTTGGCCCGTGCTTTCCCGTCTATGGATTTGCGCCACTGCGTTGTTAGGGAGGGAGTGTGAGTTTAGCTTGGCCCTTCTCTCTATTGTGTGCTTTGCTCTGGTCTTTTAATTTTCTTTTATTTATTTAGGTTTGGACTGTTGTAGGACTTGGCCTGATGTAAGGCCCGCAATCTACTCCGCATCCAGAGTAGACGGCAGTTATTCTGGGAGGAGGACGAGGAGGAGGAAACCCGGAATAAAAGAGCATTAAAAAAAAAAAAAAAAAGGCGGGGGGGAACGAAAGTAATTGCAGGCTAACAATGTTTGTTCTCCGCCTTTTTTTTTTTTTTTGCTGAGAAAGGGAGTGTGTCGCTGGTGGTAGGGTATCACCACGTGACGTCAACGCGCTGCCGTCTGCTTTTAAGTGCATGATTCATGCGTGGAGATGTGTGTTGGTGGAGAGAACGACTTGAATGGCTCGGATGAATGTCAGGGATTTTCTTGTGTGAAGGACGTCAATAACGGAATGCACATTTACACACAAATGCATGCGGATATATTTATTTTTTTTTTTTTCTCTATGAATGTCCTTCTCTCCGTAAAGTGGGGTGGGGGAGGGATGCTAACGGGTCCCGCGAGAAAACATCTTGCGGGGAGGGAACTGGGGAGACGATGACTCTTTTAGGCCGTTTCATTTACACAGCGTGGCTTCCAACGAGTCCCAATGGAAACAAAAAGAAAAAATGAAAGGATGACGCAAATCACGTCGTTTATTTTATTCCTCCTTGTTTATTATAAACAAAATGTCTCTCTGTGTGCGATTGACCCAGGCATGCAACCGCTGCAGCTGCGAAACCGTTAGGGGCCATTCGTTCACATGTGTTGGTGCGTATTTGCATTTGATTATGTGTCATGTATACGAGGCTCACTTAACGGCTTCCTTCGCCTTTTTTTTCTCTTCCCCTTGCCGCCTCGTACGCTGCTGTTTGTATGGTTGCTGTCCCTTCTATCGGCTCCTCTCGCTACGTGTGTTTTCCTCTCACGCGCGGCGATTGCGTCCTGTCATTGTGGGTATTGCACCATTATCAATTGC